CCTAAGCAGATAACTCGATCGAACAGGAAGTCAGTCCCGCCGCTAATCGTGTATGATCCGCCATTTTTTGGGCCCCAAAAACCTCTCGAAGCCTAAGATGGCCGACAATGAGCCAATCACGAGTAAATCCTTCAGTGGCCAAACACAGTCTATAAAGGAATATCTAGCCGGCGATAGTGCAAAAGCAAAACTGGCTCGTTTCCTGCGAAAATCGTCAACGCAGCGACCGTCTCGCGTTCGCGGTTTTTAATTATTGTCCAGTGCCCGGGGGTAATTCGCGGACAGCTCAATCCGACGCACAGTGGAGCAAGTCAAGGGGAGAAATCGGACGAAAACTTGGAGACTTTAAAAACTCGTATCCATCTTAATATGAAACGTAACGGTTTTAGAAGTTAGTTTCAATGGCTTTCTCGTAAAGTTTCCTCCATGTAACACCCCATAAAATTTGAAATGTGACGAATTTAACATCAAATTTTGCAAATTTAGTCCAAAATTTAATGTACGACCTCCCGAGGAGGACTCGTTCCATTGTGCGGAGCGTCGTCATTCAAATAAGACACCAAACGAGGATTATTACAAGTATTGCGGCTCTCAACTGGTCGGAGCATCTTACGTGTATTAATAGGCATCTCAAAACTTGTTCCATTTCGGATTCTCAGACGAAGGTCGTCCTACTCCCGCGCTCCAATGTTGCCGTTCCTCGTACAGCCCCGATACCCCCCCTCTCCTAGTGTGGTTTTTTTAGGTCTCAAATTTCAGCCAATATTAAGGGAGTTCTTCATGCTGGAAATCCAGGAAACTGCAAGTAACTTCCGGGAAAACACGTCCGTCGAACGTAAAAATAGTGCGTACTCGCTATTCTCACTGAATAATGGATAAAAAATTATGAACGCCGTATAAAACTATAGAACAAAAGCTCACTGACCTGCTCTGCCGTGCTAAGGAAAAACCCTGTATGATCGTATCATCGTGGGGAATCAAAGGCTCGATCGCCCGTATCATATTAAGCGCCTTCAACATCGCAGGAATACTTCAAATTGTACACCGTTACACGTATAGTTAGCGTATCATGTTCAGCGCCTTCAACATCGCATGAATACTTCAAACGCTACACCATTTCACATATTTCGACGTGCAAATTGCCTACACTGTGCCTGCCGAAGTGCACACCGTGTTTTGAGCCTTGCGCTGTACCTACACCGTTTAGCCGCGATCCATAGATTTGCATCGGGTACATTTTCCACTACGACCGAATTTTGTTGGTCCTTCCACCGTGCATAAATATAATCGGGCCGAGCCTCTACTGCACCTGAGTCCGGCTTAGTGCATCTGATGCCGGTTGTGCAGTTGGGACTCAGCGATGGATGCTGCACCTTCGATTATTCTGCCGTACTCAGGAAGAACGCCGTATGAACCTTCAGGCATTGCCAAATTTCCTTTGGCAAAAAAACAAATTTCCTGGTAAAATTATGAATTTTTTCCTTCCAATTTTTTAGATAATTTTGTTTGCAATTTCACGTAAAAGTTCCTGAAAATTCCAAGGAAAAACATTCCTAACTTTCCTCCAAAATAAACGTTTCATCGAAAGAAATTTGGCAACTCTCGAAT